TTGTTTGTTTGTTTGTTTGTTTGTTTGTTTGTTTGTTTGTTTGTTTGTTTGTTTGTTTGTTTGTTTGTTTGTTTGTTTGTTTGTTTCAGCCCACATTAAACTTGAGGGATTTGGGTCTAAGTGATCTGCGTGTTAGTCAGTTGGATGACCTTGTAAACGGACTTCTGCCCAGTTTATCCACAGAGGAACCCCCCGGACAGTCGTTTTGGAGAACATCCCATGTCTCGGCTGAATCCTTCTTTCAGAATAAGCATGGTAAATACTGTGTGCACAAATAATTCAGGATTAACATGCAGTCGTATTGGGCTTGCCAATGTTTTGACCTTGGTATTTTTAATGTAATTAAATATTGGAGTATAATGTGCTTTCTGTTAAGATGTCTCTTTAGACTTTGTTCCTCTCTAAACATTCTAGGCTTTTCATTTTCACCTGCTAAAATTAATAGTCCTGCAAATTAAATGTATTCAGAAAGTGCAGATCTAATATTTCACCTTGAAAGTCATGAATATACCCATGTCATATTTTGGTAAATCTGATTGGAAACGGATTTATTTATTTATTATTTATTTTGAGACAATAACTAAAATAGAAAGCAGCTAGTTGAAAATTCTCAATTTAAACGTCTGTTTCCCTCCCCTGGCATCAATAATGTAATTAAGAGGTATAAAATGACCTTAAATGTAAAAATTGATTTTTGTGGTAATGTGTGTGTGCTTACCAGAAATATTCAAAAGGAGGAGTCTCTTTCCATTGAACAGAAATTTGTTGCATTTTGTGCTGTATAACAAATGCATCCCTGCAGCACAAGCCAGTTTAGATTTTATTTTCAGGTAGTAGATGTAGTGAACTCCCTGAGTAAATCTGCATACAGGAATAAACGTTGTCCTTCCATTGCCTGGAAGATTGTGTACATTTGTGTAAATTTTTCCAGGCCCAAACCATAAAATATAGTGTTAAGATCACTGTGACAAAATGTAGCAGAGCCCATTTATGACACAGAAGTGCTGCTATTTATAATACTCAAACCACCAATCTGTACATCTTATTATGTAGTGAACAGTGTGCAGTTGAGCACAACTTTGCCTCTGATTGAATCCCATAAATGGGCTGTTGACATGTGGGTGCTGCTAGTTGGTACTTATGAGCTGTTAAGAAGAGCACATGGCTGTTTGTGGGAGTCATTAGCGAGATTAGAATGAGGGCTATTTGATTTTCATTTAATGTGCAATGCTTTACTGGACAAGGGTATTTAGTCAGAAGGGGCAAAAGTGAAGATCAAGAAGGACTGGCTTTTGGTTATTGTCAAGAACTTGATGGGGAAAGAGATTTATATGACATTTCCTTAAAATTACAGAGTTGCTGTGCTGAAGTAAGGTTTTTTGTCTTAATAAATGTAAGCCTGCTTATTCAAGTGTGTATTTAAAACGATTAAGCATTTTTAATTACTCAGCAATTAGCAAGACAATATAAAATAAAGAATGCAGCAGTATAATCCAGGTACAATATACTCAAAACCATGTACCATCTCAATGCTAACATGCACAAGAGATTGTAGACCTTGAAAAGCATCCCCAGAGAGAAACCTGTAGCTTAAGATGCATGTAAAAAGTTTTTACCCTTTGGGGGGGGGGGAAAGTTATGGACTTGATTCTGCTATGACAGTCAGGTTGTTCCATCAGTTAAAGTAAGTTATCTTCAGATTTTAGAATTATTTTTCTAATGATAACCCGCCCTGATCCTTGTACATGCTGTGTTGGCCTCCAGCTCACTTTAACTCTATGAAGGATGTAGAGATTACTGATAATGAATGGATATTGATCTATTTAAAACCAGGTTGGCTTTATTGTGATAACGGCTTAGAAGCCCACAGGCTGTTGTAGCCTAGGTAGCCATTAAACCCCTGGCCGTCAGATTGGTTTCAGTAAAACTGATCATTGACAACTTTCACTCTAGTGTATAATGTGCAGCAGCATTGTTTCTTATTCTTTGACAAGAACATTATATTGGATCATCATCAACTGTGTTTTTGTGTGTAATTACCTGAAGGGTTCTCCAGCAGGACACTGGGTCTCCTGGGCTCCCCTGCACTGTGCAAGCAGAGCCCTACCCCTCTGCAGGCAGTTTGCTCAGATCTCCAGCACTGGCCCGGTAAGGAAGTACAACCCTAGATGACAAATGCTGTTTGATGCCAAAGCGTAGAAAAAATACAGGCCCTTTTTTGTTGTGTTCCTGGTGGTATCCCACTTAGCAGTCCGTCTTAACTTCATTCACTTCCAAGACGAAAGCGAAAAGCTATATAATGATTTCAGGTTTCGCCACTGGACTGCTCCTCAGCGGTGTTCACTATAACATTGCAGTGTTGTGTAAGCCCTTTACTAAAAAGTACAGTATCGCTCTATTGCAGTTAAAATTACATTACCAAATCACTTCAAAACTTTTAAAGTGATGTGCAGTGAAACCATTCTCGATATGCATCATGTTTCCAGGCACTTTTAAGCATAACAGCCACGTAACATGTTCTGAATCTCTGATGTGTTTCATATCACTGATCACAGCGGTCATATCTTTATATGACTGTATTTTTACAACAGGGATAAGATTGTACGATACAGAGAAATTGTCATATCCTTGGTAACAAAAATAAACATGGGGTGGTGTGCCATCTTTGGGGTTTCTTTGGTTTCAGAAAGCAGAAATCTGTCAATGTTGTTTAGAGTGAAGACACCAGGTGAACTCATGCCCCGAACACAAGTTTAAAGGCAGTGTTGGGAATTTTTCTTTTTACAGCTGTCAATGCATAAAAACCCTGGCTGCCATCAGGCTACAAAGATCAGACTAAGTCTGATGCCAGTCTGATCGCTTATCAGGTTAAACAAATGGAGGTCTCTGTTGTATGATCTGCTGCAACGTTTCTTTTTATTTTAAAAGTGTGGATTCAAAGCCGAGGCTTTAAAACGCTGAAATCCAAAACCAAACGCCTGCAGTCCAACTCTGACCGGGTTGCCGAGCCTGAAGGCTACACCCCATCATTCATGAAGGTCTGTTGTTTTTTTTTTAGTTGTGACCAGCTTTACAAAGGATATATCTTTTCTCTCACTGTATAACTTTATAACTTGTAACTGTTTATCGTTTTCTTCTCTCCATGCTTTTGACTTGTGTCTCCTGTTTAAAGTTATTTTATTTTGATGGATAGTGTTTCTGGATAGTATATAGGAACTCTAGTATTTCTTATTAAAGAATCAAAAACATTCAGATTATAGATGTAGTCTATTACATTAAACAAGATTACATTTCTATGACATTTACTCAAACCTTTGTAGAGTAAGGTAAAAAAATGTAGTTCTCTCACCACGCTTCCTTTGTGATAAGTATCCAATTTCAATTTCTTTTCTAAAAAAAATGGTTTAATCCTGATCTGTCTTTTAGGGACTACTGATGAGAGACAGAGGAACAGAAGTAGAAAGTTTAGACAAACTCCTGAAAAGTAAAAATATCCCTGATGGTCAGCAAGATGCTTTCAAGACAGGATTTGCAGAGGGATTCTTGAAAGCTCAGGCACTCACACAGCGAACACAAGGCAAGTAATCATGTTTTCATCAGCGTTTAGTTTCTGCTTGTCTACTTTTAACAAATTTTCTGTTTGTGCAAAATGTTGACAACATAATGACATCCAAGAATTTCATAATTGATATGAAATCAGTCATAATTGATAATCCATGCCATATCTAGATAGGAATGATTAATCATTTTGTTGCTGTGATCTGTGTTGACTGAGTGAATGTTCATAAACGCTAGATGGTGCTGTTTAAGTTTGTAAATGTGGTCATTGTTACTTCTCTCTGCCACCTATGAACACTCAGTTGCCTCAGGTCAGGCACTCATATACTGACCTCTGTTTTATTAAGAGATTTTATTTCTAGATGTCTGTTGTTCTTTTTCCAGATTCATTGAGAAGGATGCGGCTCATTCTTTTGGTCCTGTTGTTGCTGGGCATTTATGGGCTGTCAAGAACCCCATTTTTATCTGGTAAAGGCTCCTTTTCTGATCCTGGTTTGTTGCATTTTTTTATTTGTTTTAATTGCTTTTAATGTTGTATGCCAGGTGTTGACCTTGTAACTGAATGATTCTTCACTAGGAAATCCAGTTCTCAAAACATTTTCATAACACGGGTGTGCAGATTTATTTTTTATGCTTTTATTGATTGCCAAGCAGTAGGCTTATGGTAATGCACACACACACACACATCTAAAACATGCTTTAATGAATCGAGTAACTCTATATGAATACTGAAATCTTAAAATCTCTGCTTTTGGCCTCTAATTGAGCAGTTCAGTTCATCATTCTTGATGTTCTGCTTTTGACAACATTTCCTTTCTTCCAACACACAAGTAACAGATCAGAATGAACTTGATTTTCATTTCCAGTTCACTGTTATGTAAAGCTTTGGTTTTTACAAACCTACATGTTAATTTCCAAATAAGTAAACGTCAGTCAGTGCCCATTAATTTTCAGATAAACTTTGCATTGGCCTAATGTTATGCCAAATTTGACATTTTACATCTACAGTAATGTCAGTCATGGTGTTGCCTTCATGACAATGTCGACCTTTTTTTTTGGACAGTGCGTTTCCGAACAACATCAGGACTTGATGCTGCAGTGGATCCCATTCAGATGAAAAATGTCACCTTTGAACACGTGAAAGGGGTACATCTCCATCTGTACGATAATTAGTGGTCTTTACTTGCCTTTGCTAGCCGAGTTATGGTTTTCCAACTGGTTGCTCTTTCCAGGTTGAGGAAGCTAAGCAGGAACTACAGGAAGTCGTGGAATTTCTTAAGAACCCTCAGAAATTTACTGTGCTCGGTGGAAAATTACCTAAAGGTGGGTAGAAAAACAGCCAAACTCCTTGTATTCGATAAATGCCTGACTTTTGCTTAGCTGAGCAGGCACAAATTTGATTTGGCTTCAGTTCTCTCTGTAACTCTTGCACCCACTGAATTTGTTTCATGAATCCATCAGTTTTTAAATTAGCAGCTCAACCTGCTTTCTAACGTTTGTTTTGCCCCCTTCTCTCTAGGCATCCTTCTCGTTGGCCCTCCGGGCACAGGCAAAACCCTGTTAGCGCGAGCAGTGGCTGGGGAAGCGGACGTCCCCTTTTATTATGCCTCGGGGTCTGAGTTTGATGAGATGTTTGTTGGTGTGGGAGCCAGTCGCATCAGGAATCTCTTCAGTAAGTTATCTGACGGGGAACCTGTACTTATTGTCTTTTGGAGCTGAGCAAAGGGGTGACGACTGCACCTTATTCATGACAAAAAGTGGACCAGCAAGATTCTCTACTTGGTATATGTAGTACTGCTGTCGATTAGATGCTCATTCACACCTGATAGGACAGTGAACATCACACTATTACTGACCTTGAACTGCACTTCTGCTTAGAGGCAAGTCAGTGAGAAGGTTGAGTTGTGGTCATATTGATGTCTAAAGGCCCCATCTGTGTATATTATGTATTTACATTCAAAGGATTGCAAAGTGTTAAATAGGATCATTGTAATTTTCATTAATGAGTATAATTTTAAAAACTGATGGTGCATGATTCTTGCCCATGTTTCATAAAACATGTGCATCGAATGATATAATTGAAAAAACAAGTTCTGAAAAGGTCAAGATGTTTTTACAAACATATTCCTAACACACCCTTTTACTGCTTCTTTTCACAAAGTAGAGACTCCAAACCACTCTTCAACAAATTCACAAAGATATCAAGAAAATTACAGTCCTTTTTTGCCACTGGCGGACTCCCATTTTATTGAACAAACCTCACATGGGTATATTCATTTTACAGATTAATATTCACCAGGCTTGTTCAGCAAGGTGTCTGAACACATATATTCAAGTGCTTTCTGGCTTGTTTTCCTTGTCTCTAAGGAGAAGCAAAGGGCAATGCGCCTTGTGTCATCTTTATTGACGAGCTGGACTCTGTTGGTGGAAAGAGAATCGAGTCTCCTATGCACCCCTATTCCCGACAGACCATTAACCAGCTCCTGGCAGAGATGGATGGGTAAGCTACACTTTAATCAAGCCCTTGGCACCAAAGGTTAATCAGCATCCTTCACTGCAGGTCATTGCCCAGTCATTGTAATATAAGGCGGTTTAATTTGACAGGTTTCTCCCAAAAATATTTGTATTTTCAGAATGTTATTAAATGTGCGTTATGTCTTGTAGAAACCATGGTGTCTGGTTTTGTCTTGTTTTCTTTATCCAAGTGCTCAACTCTACAACCAGGTTGTGAAAAATGTTTTATTTTTCATGCCAGGTAGTCAGTGTTTTTTTTTTGTCTTGAGTATCCTATTTTGATTTAGTTTTGATCAGGAATTATTGGTAAGCTCCTCCAAACTACCCACCTTTGAGCCTGTACCACAGCTCTATTTCAAAGGTTCATATCTGATTGGAGGAGAGGCTTGTTCATCGACGAGAGCTACATGGCAAAAAAGGATCGAGAGGTCATAATGGTCTCTGTGTCACTGAGAGCCAAGAGAGCTCTGACTAACACCAACCTACCCTCAGCCAGTTTTGATCCAGCATAGTTAGGGTACAGTCAGCTAGTGTTTTCACTGTATCTAGTAATTAAAGTTTTTATTTACAGTGAAAATACTCTAGCCCAAAACATATTTTATAGTTGTGCAGACTTAGGGATTTAATAGGTTAATTGGTTTTAATTTTTACTGTTTTCACACTTAGTTTAACCTTTAAGGATCAGGATCATATGTGCACATTACAAAGTTGAGTTATGTGAATAAAATCTAAAATAATGTGGATATGAACACAACACTGAGCTTAATGAATCACTACAGTATATTTTAAGTACAGTGTGATTGAAGCAAGGTTCAGATTTCACTTTTCATCAGGTTTTTACCTGTGATGACAGGTGGGGCACATTTATCAGTGTGTCAGTTTGTAGTTAATGATGCGAGAATCAGTAGTGTTGAACAATGTCATGTAAATTTCCCAAATGGCAATATTTTCCAGCTGATCTTTCATGAAGTTCAGTGGAGGGCATTAGGCAAACAAACGTGTTCTCAAAGAAAGAAAATACCATTTTTAAGAAATGCACCAAATGCTCAGGGACTCCATTAAAGCTTGAATGGTTTTAGATCTACTGTTTCCTATTTAGTTTTTTTGTGAATAAGAGCACGAATTATAAGACTGCAAGATAAGAAACAAACACATAATGCCTGCAATCACATGGCCCCAAGGATGTATTGTACTAAAAACACTTGGTATAGAAATTTCTATACATGCCTCAAATCTTGTTTTAAAATTTACATATCCACCAGGATGTGATTTTAACTCTGCTTTTTATCAGCTGCTTCGCTTTGAGCTGTTCCTTACATTTCTACATTCCTACATTGAGCAACGTATGAAGTCAGGTCAAAACTGTTGATTTAACTTTAATTTGTGATGGCACAACAGTTAATTAACCAACAGTTCAGTTTGATTTTTTTGTTAAATTTCACATCCAGCTAAGGAAGATGATGTTATTTTCTCTGCAACCCTGCTTCACTTTTCCTGGAGAGACTACAGTTTCACAATATAGTGCCAAAATGTTTATTTTTGTCCATCGTGACATGTATGCATCAGCCATCACTCGTTTTTCAGGTAGGAAATGTAGTAATGTTCAGGTAGGTTGATTGAATACAATTTCAGCCGTTTCAATTCTCTAAATCTTGAAATGCCTGCAGGTTTAAACCCAATGAAGGGGTCATCATTATCGGAGCAACAAACTTCCCAGAGGCTTTGGACAAGTAAGTTTTTTTTGCCTAAATTTAATGCAGTGAAGTTTTTCTCGGAAAGGTTTGAAGCCTGAATGTTACTGTGAAATGTTCTTTTTCAGTGCTCTGATCCGTCCTGGGCGCTTCGATATGCAGGTCACAGTACCAAGGCCGGATGTGAAAGGGAGGACGGAAATTCTGAAGTGGTACCTCAACAAAATTAAATTTGATAGTGGTGCGTAGAGTATCATATCTCCTTAAACAGGGTTTCCTAATCGCTGTGTATTGTAACTGTTGAATGGAATGGAATTAGACCCATAAAACATTTTAAAGGACCGCATCATGTCACAATGCGCACAAACTCTCGGTTTCACTTGTGACAAGACCGGTGGTTTGTGGTGACCATGCAGTACTTTCACAAAGTTCACGATTTTGTGTTTGAATGGAAAAATATAGAAAGATCCCAAAAAAGGAAGATTTTCTCTACTTTTCTTGATTTTTGCTTTTCTTGTTGGTGATATGAGCTGTTGTAGTGGAAATTCTGTTACTGTACAAGTTTTGTATAGCACTCTTTGCTGATTTATAGTTTTTGAACTTGGTCAAACCTACTTGTATTTTTGTGTATTTCATAGCTATTGATCCTGAAATTATTGCAAGAGGAACAGTTGGTTTCTCTGGAGCAGAGCTGGAGAATCTGGTGAATCAGGCTGCTTTGAAGGCAGCAGTGGATGGCAAGGATATGGTCACCATGAAGGAACTTGAGTTTTCCAAGGACAAAATTCTGATGGGTGTGTGTTCTAATATCCTTGTTTAGGGGGGGGTTAATTATTTCTGTATTTTTATGTACTTATTATAGGTATCCATATATGTATTTCCAGTAAGAATGAGAAATCCTGAAAGGTTCTGCAGTTTGAGACTTTCACTGAACTCTCCAACATTAGTTTTCAGCCCTTGTGTTAGGACCCAGCAGTAGGTTGCTTGAACCAGCTTTTCTGTGAGCCATAAAATCAAAGATGGTAGCTTCACCCTATTATCAGCGTTGTCACTGTTAGTCTGCTGAAATTTAATTTCAGGCACCACCTATGCTTATGCCATTTATTGGAAGTTGTGAAAAACAATAGAAGAGCAAGGCTTAATTACACACGATCTTAAGAGTCTGTCAGCAGGTCACTTTAATTTGAGTTCAAAGTTGACAGGGTTTCAGTCTTGATTGCATGGGCTGGTGGATCTTCAGGTGCAGAGGATTGAGTACCTGTTGTCCTATGCGACTTCTAAGGATTTCAAGATTTATGGGGAGGTGTTCTTAATGTCTCCTGGATTTTACCCTTATCAGGTCCTGAACGTCGAAGTGTTGAGATAGACAAGAAGAACAAAACTATCACTGCTTACCATGAGTCAGGCCATGCTATTGTTGCCTATTATACCAAAGACGCCATGCCCATCAACAAGGCTACCATTATGCCCCGAGGGCCTACTCTTGGCCATGTGAGTACAGTAAAACTGCCGTCTGACCACTGAGCTCTGCAGGTGTGTTTGGTACCCATGCATACGGCGCCTGAAAGAAAGAACTGTGCTGCAGCTAAGTACATTTTAATGGTGTTGTTAACTGAGGCCAATGTTTAACATGCTGTACAGAAACCAGGATGCATTCGTTTTCTGTGCCAGCATTCTTAGGGTTTACTGGTGGACAGAAATGTTGGTGTTCAAATATTCTACATAATACTTTTTATAACCAGTGCAACATCAGCTTTCCTCACTCTCTTTATGGCTTTATAACTATCGAATGTTTGGTGTGTCATAGGAATTGTTGACACAGCTGGGTATTTATTCACCTTATTCTTGTTATTGTTCTATTGTTTCCATCAGTATCTTTTGTTTGCTTTATAATTTTATGATACATTTTCTGTCTGTTTCTGTAATGTTTCCAGAATATTATTTTCTGATTTTTTTTTATCACTTCAGAATTCACAAATGTTCAAACCAACACCTCTTTTCAGAACTGTGCATGTGAGGCATTATAGTGGAATCTGTGCAATAGGCTCTTTATATTTGGGCTGGAATAAATTGCAAATGAAATGCAAGCATCAGAAACATTACAGGGTTTTATTGCATCACACTAAAATGTGAATTTGTACCATGCGAGTGTTTAAGAGAGAACTGAATCTTTTTAGTTTGCACCACAAACAAATGGGGTTGGGAATTCAGAATCATGAAGGTCAGATTATTTTATGGATTATTTTCTTTAAATTCAACATCAACACAAGAACACCAGGACAAAAGTAGAAAGTCACTTAAGGATCATTTAAGACGCAAAACAGGAGGCACAACTTTCCATAAATGATTGTTGGAATCCAGATCATACATGTGAGTCATGTGGTAAAACTGACTCTGTGGGATCCTTCAAGAAAAGGATAGGTAGAATTCTTGTACATTTTCAATGGCGAATTCTTTTGTTTGTTTTTATGCCGGAAAATAATTTCCATTCTCTTTTTTTTTTAAAGGTATCATTACTTCCAGAGAATGACAGGTGGAGTGAAACTCGTTCTCAGTTACTAGCTCAGATGGATGTCAGTATGGGTGGAAGGGTTGCTGAGGAACTAATATTTGGGAGTGAAAACATCACAACTGGTAAGCCTGACCATAGACATTTTCTAAAGTACCTTTACAGGTGTTATTGTATTTTAATTTATTTTTTTCTGTTCAGGTGCTTCAAGTGATTTTGACAGTGCAACTAAAATAGCAAAGATGATGGTGACCAGATTTGGAATGAGTGAAAAGGTAGGAAGAGTGTTTGTCCTTGCAGAATATCATGCATCTGACCTTTATTAGGTGAGGATTAAGGGAGAATGTGATTTGAAGTTTACTTGCAAAGAAAGGTTAATTTGTGCAGAGTGTAAACCTTTTTATCTACCTGGAATCATGGTGGAATTTTACAGGTGGTGAGCGAAGCAGTTCTGAACAGTCTTTGCTTTTTGTTTGTCCATCTATAACTGTTACTGATGTTCCCCTTCCTTAGCTGGGCGTCATGACGTATGCCGATCAGAGCAAACTCAGTCCAGAAACACAAGCTGCCATTGAGCAAGAAGTCAGAGTACTCCTGAGGGTAAGGATCTCCTGTCTTTCCAAATTTTGCTCTTATGCATACAAGAAAAATATATTTTGAGTGTTACATTATAGATTTCAAAATGGTTATTTGCTCAACCATACATACAATAGATTTCTCTACTTGCTTTGGTTCAAAAAAGCCTGTATTTTCCGATGGGTTTTGCAGGTTATGAACTTTACCAGATTTTCAGCTTCCAAGTTGTGAACATGCAGTGTGGGATGCTGTGTAGTGAGGACTAAGGAGTTCTTGTTGGTATGGAAAAGGTTTATCAACAGAGTAAAGACTAGTGTGGGATTGAGCATATCTCGTTTATTCATTTTTTAACAGGATTCATATGAGCGTGCTAAAAACATCTTAAAGACCCACACTAAGGAGCACAAGAACCTAGCTGATGCTTTGTTGACATATGAAACTCTGGATGCCAAAGAAATCCAAATGATCATGAATGGAAAGAAACTGGAGCCAAGATGATGTCTTCCTCACAGCAGAAATGGTTGGGTGTTCATGAATGTAAATATGCAACAGACCGGGGGGGGGAGCATTGAATGAATCTGTGTAGTTTATTTTTCTTAATATATGATTGTGTATACATATTTTATCCCATTTTTTCCCCTTGATTCTGATAAGGATTGTGCTTTTATGTGTGAAGTCTTTCTGTAGTGATGAAATCCCTACTGCTTCCCTGCAAGTCTTCAACAATATCTCAGGGGTACGGTCATTTGATATAAAACTCATCATCCGTGCTTTCTGAAATACCTATGGGCTCTATTTATTTTTGTTACACTTTTAATGTCAAGGTTCTGCCTCAGAGGTGTCATTATGTACCCCTTTGATGTTACCTGTTCACGTCCAGTTATCAGTTATTTTCAACAAC